TTAATTCTCTAATGGCTGAGGATAAACCCCAATCTCGTTCACAATTTTAATCTTGCATGTGGTAGCCAACCAAACTGAAGCGGAAATTATTATTCACACAATCATAGTCTATGACGAAGGGTGTGTTTTGTTCTCCATCGTTTTCGCTGGCTTACATGAAAGCTGTAGAGTTTTCTACGATGAAAATACCACTCCATCATTCTATGGATATGCCGAGTATATGGCAGACAGTCATGATGGAAGAAAAACCACAACATAACAAAGGGCACACCTCCTATTAATTCTATGATAGAAATTATCCCAAAATATCTACAAGTGTGTGACTAAATAAACGAAAGCATAACCGCAAATCCTGATTAAATTCTGATGACTTGAAAACACTGAGCTTAACCTCAGGATTCTACACTAACCAAAAGATTTTGAATCCATGATACACAAGTTCCTTTAACCAGTTATACTGGTTGCTTCTAACTGAGATACATAATTAAAATCCTTATCACAGTGTTTCTCTGATACTGAGTCAATGTTCGGAAGGAAGATTCAGACTTCATTTGATAGTATGTATCCACAAAGAAGAAGATGAGATCATAAACACAAGCCGAGAAGAAGTGAAGGTCAGGTTACTAATGGGTTACCAGTGTATGTAAGAAACGTCCGACGATGGAGTTACTTATTCTCTGAGGAAGTGGCATACACTGAATCACGAAACGTCAGAAAATCTAGTTTTTCTACTCATTGGGATATTACAAATATAACTGATCTATATATTATAAATTACCTACAGCTAAACGTCTAAACTATTCTATTTCAAAAGTTAGTAGCTCAGTAGTATCATGTTTTCCGTAAGGCTTAACATTTCTGGCCAAGTATTATTGTTGAGTCCCACAAGAAGACGAAACACGTATTCAATACGGCTTATATTTTAATGGTTCTTTGCACGTATTTACATAAGTTTATGACGAATACATTCTTAAAATAAATGATATACCTTTAGGAGAAGTTGCGTAAATAACTTTGGTTGGGATGTTGATTCTTTTTAATAAGAGTATGAACGGGTGGATAACCTCTCGCCTTATTTTTACTACTCAGGTTGTAGATTATGCTTGAATAAGTGTTAACAATCAATCATTTTTTGTCCGATTCCCTATACACAAATCTGCTTTTATCAATGAATATCATGTAAATCAATATCCGAAGGATTTTGAAATATCCCAAGGTCATCAGATTTTACTACATCACTTCTGGCTCATTGACATGCTTGGTAAAAATACGTGTTAATTCAAACCATATTTACAAGTGCTCATTTGCATATATCGATATTGATCAATTAACTAAGGTGAACCATTTAATATCCAATATTCCTGATAAACTGAAATCAGTTGAATTGATACTTATTGTAATGAAAGCCTCAACACCGACTTCTTAATCACTTCCTAGTCCCCAGAAATCTTCTATTTTTGAACCCGAGCAAGGAAGGATAGAAATATGGAAGAAGCATTGCTTTGAAGATAGGATAAAATTATATTCAACTACGAGATAGTGAAAGCTTATGGGAAACTTACTAAAGTTGTCATAAATCCGGTTGTTGGCAATCAAGATAATAAATCCATGATCCGTTGTTTTCTAGAATTCTCATGGAAATTTCTAAGAGGTGCTGATTGATTAAATTATTATCTAGATTTGCCTATATTCTGAGGACTTTTTTGGAGGAATTATCAAGGATTTCAAATATAGAGGATCACTGAACATCAATAATCACCAAACAGCTAAATTAATAACATTTAAGACGTCTCTACAATTCATGCTCATGATTTCCTGTGTTTATAAAGTACTATCTAGCATGTATTCTTTAAAATGATCCTGAAACTATTATTGCTCCCGTATGTATAGATAAATTCACTTTGGAATTTATTACATAAAAACATTTGATAATCAAAAATACACAAGATTTTTACACCATAATCTGAAAATATACTACTAATTGGATATTTCTAAAAACGTATAACAACCCCCTTTCCCATTAAAATAACCTTGAAGAACAGGTTTTTTTACATATATTAAAGTGCTTCGATTCAACCCATTTTACACTTTTCGATAACACTATTTACATACGTACACACATAAATGTAAATGAAAAATCGATAAAAAGGAAGACATTCACAAAATTAAAAATGAATATGAAATGATTAAACTGATGAAGATAAGGAAGAATAGACCAAACAGATTATTCAACATTTTCATAATAAAACAAAAACAGATACACACTGACGCGACTGCAATGAATTTTGACTAAATTATTCGATTAGTAACTGTAATTTAATCTTGTAAAAATTTGAAAAAAAAAACAGAACAATATATTTTGTGCAAACGATTCCTATTTTGAAAGTCCACTGGTCGGTCACAATCACAAACTGATGAATTAAGTTGAAGTTAGACCGATTTTCACATATGTAGGTTGTGTTGAGCACAGAGCGATCCCAGTTTGAGTATCATTGAAAAATAGAGGACATTGGACAACAGTTTTGAGTTAGTATGGAACTCTCTGGCAATGTAACCTATCTACGGTTGTACACAAGGACTTTCGGTCTGACAGTGAGCTCTATTACATGCCAACTTGGTGTACCGAAAGTCGGTCTCTTGTTGATAGGCCTGAAAGTAGTGGGTTCGACCCCTGTCTGCATCATGCATGCACACTGCTGAGGAATATCATACTACAGCGAAATAGCTATGTAGCGCTTACTAACATTTTATGATATCCCAAATAAAAGCAACCAGCAAATTCTATCGAACTCTGAAAACCCCCCTAACTAACTTTTACGTATATCTAATTTTAAAAGTAATTCAGGTTATTCTCAGTTTCACTTGTCATTTAAATAAACTTTATTTTTAACGACAAAGTGAATGTGTGTTTTACATTAGGGAGAAACGTTTGTCAGAAAAATATTAAAATGTAGGAAGGACCGGAAAGCTAACATGTCCTACTATGGAAACCAGTAGAAGGAAAAAATCACAATGCATCATCAAGGACTGAAAACAGAACCTCACATACTTGGTGCAAGCACCTATTAATATGACCTCACAGATAACAGAGAATCAAAGAATAATGGGTAACTGTTAGTTCCCAGATTAAAAGCTCACAGTGATAACAACTAGATAGATAGATAGATAGTTAGATAGATGGAATAACTAAAGTATCTGTCGATACTTAACGACCTGTTTTAAATTAGTTTTATTGCATGCATCACGAGCCCACTTAAATGGCAAACATTCAATCCAGCGTTCAAGCATAATCGTGGTGACCATGAAACCCCACCCAATGCCGGCCCATGGTTGAGTTACTATTACTCAGATGTCCCTAATTAGTTCGCCAGATGATCTCAGCATGTGAAGAAAAAGTCAAGAATGTAAAGTTTGACTGAACGGATGACTATGTGATTTCTAAAACGACCTGGAGAAACCTCCAGTCAATCAGTGCTTGTTCTGCCCTCGTACTTAGTGGTATTCCTACACCCGTCAGTCCATTCGAACTAGCCATCTGATCGCCAGATGAACGAAGGATGTATCTCGTCGGCTCCCCATTTTGGCGAGATGAGGTTAAGTGAAAGACCACACTAGGATCCTGTATGCCTGTTTCGGAAACACAGCATACATCAATGGTATGAAATTGTAGGGTATTAGCCAATGAAAATCGCTGGCCGATTTGACATAGGGTACGTACGTTGAAGGCTCCAACGTGTAGTCTGGAGAGAGGTTTCAGTAGACTTGGGACAATATTTCGCGCACTGGAATCGTTGGCCATGGTGATATTTGAGGAAGAAGTCAAAAGAGGAATTCTAGAGTTGAAAGTCTATGTAGGATGAATAATAGGTATTGAAGAGGGGGATTGATTATGAATTTAGTGATCTTGAGTGCTGTTAGAGGTATAAGGATGGTTATAACTGTTGGTATTTTATTGTTGGTGATATTAAGGACTGAATTTAATCAATATCAGCTGTCATATGTACTAAGTGAACCGTCTCAATGTTGCCAATTAGTAATAAGTTTTTAGTAATAATGGATAGTGGCCTTCAATGGAATCCAAGATACGCGTTTCGTTCTGAACACGACTCGTCAGTTGGATGTGACTTGATATTTGCACTGAAGTTCAAAACTGGTATCTTTCGCTTTAAACACCCAACTAGTTATCTACTAAGTCATTTTACATGAAACCCGTGATAGTCATTCATTCTTTGGTCTTGCAAAAAGAACTCGAAAGTATTTTTCTCCATGCTTATTGGCTTGTCCCATATGTCAGAAGGAGTAAGCATAATACGTGAATCTGCTTTTACACCATCTTACATTCCCTGTATGCTGAAGCAACAGACGTTTTCTTACTGTTTTAAAGGAATGGGTCTCTAAATGGAGGTATCTTCTACCAAGATATAAGGTGAATACAAACTGAAGTAACATTCCTCATTTCACATTAAAATTTAAAACTCATGATTGTGATTGTGGTTGGCTTAACAATATCATATAGTTTCACTACAGCTCGATCTTCCAACATTTTAAACACATATACTACTAACATGATTTGTTCGTTTTCTCTAAAAAAATAATCCTTGTTCAAACTGTGCAGAATAGATTTGATTGGTTGCGAAGTAATTTCGAATCAACTAACAGTTAATCAATCATATTATTAATTTGCAAACCTGCACATATATTGTGTGCTAAATTAAAGAACTAAGAAAAAGAGTTTTGGATAGAAACATAAATTTACATGTTTCCTTTTTGTTCATTTTAAAGATTATTTATTCATTCACTTAAACATTTATACATTAAGTATCTGATGTATTTCTTCTTTGTCATTTCTACCTATGGTAGCTTGAATAATAAAACAAGCTTAAATAGTGGATCAATCAATTGTAGAAATTTTTCCGGTGAAATTCACAATATTTAAACAAGCCAATTTAAATTATCTTTTGTGTTATCAGTTCCCTACTTAGCAAACAAACCAAATAATCATGTCCATAAGAACACCTTATGAACGTTTACGTACATTTTGCTCACAGTTAGCAAAATATATTCCAGAAATTCAATTACAACCACCACATACAATTAAAAATTACGGAAATTGTCCATATTTCTATAAATTTCATCTTGGCACAAAGGACTTAGTTGAAAAGTTCAATGGTGATATATTACCATCGTCTAATAATACTTATAGACTGTCAAATGTACCAAGAGAATCGATTGGCACACATTCAGATGAGATGAAATTACAAGATTTTCAGTGGTTAATGAATAAAAAGTTAACATGTGTTTTATTATGGCTTGGTGTAATCATTTTAATTGTTGGAGTAATTGCATTACAGATTGCTAGTTTTTTCTTACATAAACGACAGTAAGTTTTCCATGTTGTTAACTCTTATTATAACCATATGATATTTACTTACATTCTCAAAATGTATGTAGAGAGAACAGTAAACATATATATATATATATATATATATATATATATATATATATATATATATATATATATATATATACATAATTTTCTCCAATATTTTCAATAATTTACGATATCTTATATAATTAGAATATTGATCATTTCTGAACTTAAACATAGATTCCTACATTCTAGCCCATAGAAACCTTCCTCTTTCAAACCTTGAACAGAAAGAGAATACGAGACTTTCAGAATAGCCTTATATTCTGAACATAAGTTAAGAACTGAAATGGAACAACTCTGTTCATATAATTAACATGCATAAAATAAGCAAACTAAAAATTACAACAGCCAATTAGATAATCGAATGGTCATCGAGGTAATATGAGTTAGAAAAATGTTATCCATGTTATCTTTTGTAGAAAGAAACTGACATTTAGCAACAAGAAACTAAACACATGAGTACAAGTATATAACATTTAACATCTAAGACTTTCAGATCTAGCGCCAAATATGAAATCTTAGGATAATCATTAATAGTTTCCTGTGTGTAAATCTCATGAACAGATGTAAAGATTTTATTCCTACTCACAATTGATTGATCACTGGGTGGTGATCAATGTCATGCTTGTCATGTCATGCTTGCTAGTCTAATCCCTCAAGATTACAGGTACACCTTGCTGACGAGTGCCAAGTAGCACGAAACCCGGGTCCAGGGTTTCCTGTTGACTACCTCCAACCATCATCTAAAAAATTCTATTCCTACTGTCTATTAATTTTTTTCTATCGTCAAGCTAACTGTTTTCATCAGATACACCTGTCACTCAGCAAGACAACGTACAGATGAGAAATAAATAATCTTATTAATTAGTGATTTGTGTTGTATCTGTAGAAATCTGTTTAATACACTAATTCACTCGAATATTATCAATGCACATCTTTATATGTAAATCATTTGCTTATTATAATGTACATCTCCCGTTTACAAAAAAACTGTGTTGTTACTTGTGTAGATTTCAATAGTAATCACAACGACACACCAAAAAGGTATCCTACATATAAACAAATTGATATACAAGGTTAAAAACAAAATGTAGTAATAAATAGTAACATTACGTACTTGTTAAATTACATAATACACTGGTTACTTTTTATGTGTAATAAACAAACGATTATATATAGCCCTGAAATGATTCTATGAATAGAATTCGATGTTAGCTTTTCAACCTGTTCAGTTTATTACAAAAATATTCTACAGTAAGAAAGTATTCGTTTTTGGATGTAATGAATGTACTTTTTCAGAAATATTGATTTAGTTGAATAGATTGTAGCTTATGGGAATGATAAATTGAATGAATTTACAGAATTAGAGAAATGAATGGGATTGACAATGTGGTTTATTAAATTTTAATTCAGTGATTAATCTTAAGATTCATAGGTAATGAGTTCGATGTTATGTGGAATCATTGGCGAGTACTAACGACAAGCCTCAATCATCGTTTTGTTTTATAGTCACTTTTAAACAGTTAACTACTCTCATTAGCTCACACATACAAAAATATAGTTCACATCCGAATATATAATTCGGTGAGAGTATAATTTTTGGACAACCGTCAAGCGATGCTAAATTGATCATAAGAATATTTACCTACCTACTTGGGTCATAAGAGACTCAGAAGTGAGTCTAAGGAATCCGGATTAAGATTTTGAGTTAGGGTTGTCATCACGAAATGACATCAGCCATAAAGTTGAAATGCTAAGTAGTCTTATGGATGAAAGAATTTAGCTATGAAATTCAAGACCTGCTATCTTAAATCTCATTGGTTCATTTTATAGATTATAGTCCCTTCAGAAGGCTCCTTAGGAAGTTTTAATGCAAAAGGCTGAATTATAATCTGCACTAATTATGTAACTGGATTGATTCAGACAAAGATAAATAGACGGTGATCATGAGTAGGTGGAAAATTCAACTACTCGTTATAGTCTGCTTGCCTAGCTAACAATCTCCATGTGACTTTAAGATATTAAAAATTCCCATGTAGTGGATTAAAATATCATGTATAGGCGGCCAATATTATTTTCAATTAGATCATCATCAGGCTTTACACTCTTATTTAATAATACGACAAGATCCCTTCGCGGTTAGGAAAGGGTATAATCAAAACAACAAACAGCTCTGTTTGATCACACTTGATCAATAGCGGTCATAGAAATAGTTTATAAATAGCAATTTATCGTATACATACTAGCTGATTTTATGGGGTTTGATTTCCTCTCTTACACATAGCAGAAGCTATAGGGATTTGAGCCAACAATCCAAGTCTTTGTGTTTATGAGAAATTCGTAACATTCTTGTCTCTTCCCTGGCCGAATTAACATTAATACACGATTTTATTCATTATTATTCTACTTGCTCCTTGTTCTTTTATTTCTCTTCACTCCTTTTTTTCAAATACACGCTTCACTGTTTGACTATCTGGACACTTCTCATAACGTAATTCTGTAATTTTTAATGAATGTTATTTAAATGTTTGTTTTTCCAACTCTTTATTATGAAACACTGATTCAAGCCTTTATTATTCTTATTACAACCAGTACACCTATCATTACAGTATCAATCTGTACTTTTTACTTATTGTTTATTTATGCAATCTATTCCGCTGTTATCACTGACTTATAAACTGCTTTGATTACTTTAATAATTTTACACATGCATATGGATATTATTTTTATATTAGAGTAAAGCCTGATGAGAATCGAATTGAAAACAATCTTTTTCGCCCATATATATTATTCTAACGCACTAGATGGGAATTCTTAAAGTTATTAGCTGATCATGTTAAGACTCTATCTATTGTAAGTTTCTCTCTTTTGTAATTTAAATAGTTATATAACTGCCATAAGGTGGCGAGTATTCCAGACGTTGTAATTTCGGGAACTACCCTACGAAAAATTATTGTATAATTATTAAGTTAAATTACTTAATGCAATTACTAAATATTTAGGATATTGTATTTTTGCATTCTCCTACTTGCCATTTTTTATTTAAAGGAAAAACTGTTGTTGTATGTTTTGTCTCTTCCAAGATATTTGTCAATACTTACAGATCTATCATTTGGTTCTCTATCACTTACTGCATAGTTATAGCTATTTGTTGATGTATGTTCAAGAATTAACCCTAGATTTTTGTATGAAGTTAAAGTGTACAGTAGAATGTTCAGCCTGTTATTTTATTATTCTACACTGCTTACCGAGTGAGCGAACACGGGAAAACTGCATTATGAATCAATGGCTATTAAGTGTTACTCTCGGCTGTTGTTTCACCATCGTTGTGTCATTGTACCTATGTAAGTCATCTAGGCGAGATAACCGACACTTGAACTAGATCATACAACTGTTTATTTAAATATGGCTGGATTAAAAAAGCACCAGTATTATATTACGAGAAATCTATTTATTTTACCATTGCGTCAACGACTAGTCGCTGTCATACATAGGTCTTTACTATAGGTTACTTTTAACATGTTATCCCTTAGCTGATTTTTAGTTTAATCTAATGTAGAAATCATTTATCCAAGTATAAGATTATGTACTCAGTCTCAATCTATACACTTATACTGTCAGTTTGTGCGCTATCCAAATTAGAAGGAAGAATGATATGGTTTGAACATCCAGCCTTTTAATGACACATTAAACTTTGAGTCAATTAGCAACTGATCTGCTATGTAGAAACTACCTTCATCGATTAGTATTGGTTTGTAATTTCCTGTTGTCGATATTTAGGACTGCAATTGATCAGTTTCTATTGTTATTTGGTATTCGAACTTGGTAGCTTGGTGAATAAAACGGCGTTTGAAGAAAAAGGTACCGGGTTCCGATCTTAAATGTAAACATCAACACTGGAACGCATATACATTCGGCTAACGAAGTTTTAAGACGAAATGAGATGCGCTTCTTGAATTCCATTGTAACTGCAGGTTGTATCAAAGCAATCACTTCATTGTACATATGCAGCAACATTAGTTAATCGTTTGCAGTCCTGAATATCAACAACAGAAAATTACAAACCTTTACAGCTTCAATGATTATTGTGCACGTTTGGATAATTTCTTATCTGAACAATAAGTGAACTACGAATAGTAATAATAATAATAATAATAATAATAATAATAATAATAATAATAATAATAATAATAATAATAATGAATAAAATTCTAATTATCAACAGCTTTTATTACATATAAAGCCGTTAGACTTTGTTTACAAATATATAACACGATCTTATTTACCTACTCATCTACTTATCAATATCAAATGACAAAAATCAAAAGAAACGATCAAATTTATTTTAATATAAATGTTAAATGTGTGTCACATGTGAGCTCATTCCTTTCTTGTGAATAGTTAAATTGTTTTATTGAACAGACAAGATATAGCATGAAATACACTAGAGAAGGATTAAAATTGAAATGTAGAAAGCTAGCTGTTTACCCCGTTATGAAGCTCCTCAGTATTGTGCATGCACGAACCCACGAAGTATCGAATTCAAAGCCTACCGGAATCGTCCTTAACGATTACTACACTAGACTCATAATCAATGGTACATGAGTTTTACTCCAGCCAATTATCCAATATCACACTAATAACGACTGTCTCACTCTCGACATGTTTGAAAACACCCGGCCACATCAAAATGTTAAGATCACTATATGATAAGTTGTTTTGATTTCGAGTTATAAATTCTACTTTGTTTTATATTCCGAGTTTTTTAAACATTCACTGTTCCAATAGATTTGTCTTACTGATTTCGGTATTTTGATCTTTATTTGATAAAATATTGATCAAGAATAAATATATTTGATGGTTTAGGATAGATTTAGCTATTACTTATATTAATAGTTATTTCAGTGTTCAGTTCTTTCAGGAACAAAGAATAGCAGAGAGAGAAAAAC